TTATATTAGAATGGTAATGCCTACATCTAATTATTATTAAATATATAAGTTATGCAATTTACTTGATTTTTTCTCACTGTGCATTTTGCTATTCAATTTGCTGAACACATTCATCTTCGATCGAACACTTTGTTCATTTTGTTTTTGTGTATGATAAATTATATAAACAGAAATCAGTAAAACGAAAAATGTTGCTATATATACATAGATTATATATACATATGTATATATTACGATAAGGGGCCTAGGGAGCAGCAGCAACAGCAGCCGGACATCATTTTAAGCGTTCTACTCACACACACACACACACTTCTTTTTGCTCTCACTTCTATACACATACACTCAATCCCTTATATGTATTATATATATATCGGAATTTAAATAAGAGTAACTATTTTTTTTAACACCAATAGCAAAGCATTTTTTACAATTATTATAATGATTATGAGTAAAACTGGATACAAAACAAAAACAGCATATGTTTAGCTTGCAAATAAACAAAACTATGAAAAATAAAAGCGTCTTTTATTTATCGATAACTATTAATGATAGATATCAACATACATGGACGATAATTTGTTAATTTAAAAATCAGTTTTTAATATAATATCTCTTACATCTTGAGAGCTAGAGTATACAAATTTTGCATTTAAATTTAGGTGAATTTTATACAATTTATATGTATTTTATATTTCCTCTACAATGGAAAAAATGTCCAATAATTGTGACGAATGCTTTATGCACCGTCAATCAAATTGACATTCTGGCTGGAGTTTACTGATTAATAAACCTCTTCTAGGGCTTAAATCCATCTTGAAACCTATAGCTCCTGGTTTCCTGTATTAACTTCTAACTGAGCATTGCCTGCGTCGAATTCATTTCCGCCGTAGAACCCTTTTCGGCAAAGTCATAGACCTTTTGTCTGTTGGCTAATGTCTCTACTTTGACATTATCGACTGTTTCTGCCAATTCGTTTCTTATTTAGGTACTTTCGAAAATATAAAAATATAAAATAAAATATATGACCGGAGAGCATTTGTGTCAAATAAAAAGACGTTTACGGTACGTTACGGCAATTCCAACTTATCTTCTACGAGGCAATGGTTTGCTGTCGTATGATCTTTGTTGCCTGTTCCGAGAATACTTATGGTCCATGCACATATTTGAAGGTTAGTATCACATTCTGAAACTTTGATTATGAAAGTACAACATAAATAAACTGTCCTTCACTATCCCTCAACAAATAGGTTATAATATAATCTATGATATATATTTAATATCTACATAATCTATATTATCATATATGAAATAATTATCATATACAGTAATCCGGATATAACGACTCCGCGTATCGCGTCTGTACGGTTATAGTGACGAAAATTCTGGTCCCTAGACAAACTTTTATAAGCAAACTTATTGGATAAAGCTTTCGCCGGGCATACCGACGGTCCCTTGAGCATCCTTATAACGGGATATGCATGTGTTGATCCATAAGTATGTACAAAAGGTGTGTAGAATGATTGGAACATCAGCTCTTTGCAGCGTCCAGGGCATTTTCTAGTTGAGCAATCTCGGCTAGAGTTCTCCATGCTTCTTCAGCAGCATTTGCTCTCCCTTCGCATCATCATCATCGCATTATACTGAAATCGTGTATGCCCAGAATATACCCTAGCATTTAGAATACAATTTTCACATTGCTTTGAAATCACTTTTTTTTATTTTTTTTCTTGCATTTCTGTTTTCTTTACACATTTATTGAATATATATATATATTTTTTTCATATATTTTCGTTACTTATTTATGTTTGTTTGTTTACTTTTGTTGTTTGTTTTCTTATTTATGCTTTTAAAATTAAGTTTACCTGTTACAATTACAGCTAAAAGATGTTCGTTTTCTGTATTTAATTTATGTATTGTATTATTTTATTTTACTTTTTGTTTTTGTCTAATCAAACATTTATAATTTGCAATACTCCCGATTTGTTTTTATATTTATGTTTACTTTATAATTAAGTAAATAAAAAATATATAGCATTTCTAAAATGAAATCGTTAAGTAAATGTAAGAACGAATAAAATATATTTATATATAGAGGCTT